TACTATAAAGACGTAGAAGTTGATATGTTCGAGAAACATCAATTCGGTAATCGTTTACACTAAATATTGTTCAAGTGGTGTTTTTTTTTTTTTTTTTTAATTTAAGGAATGGAATTGCAAGAGAAGGAGCAACTAAGATAAATCAATTCAAGAGCTTTATTATTTAATTACCTAATGCCGCTTTTGTGTTTACATCATACACCCCTGTGGGCCATGTTCCACTGCGTTTCACCGCGGCTGGTCTCAATCTGATTAACTTGCCCGCATTCACATAGTATAATATAAACAAATGGCTTGCATACCCCATATTTTATTATAAAAGATCTCGAGCTATTTGGCTACATAAAATAGATCAATAATTCTTCTTCCTTTTTTCCATGACTACTCATCAACTGTGACCGTTTCTGTTTTTGTTTGTCTTACAACATGCCCTGATGTCCATTTATTTGACGTTTTCTCCATCGACTGTTTCGATTTTTGTCGTCTCTCTTTCTCTTTATGGCTAACAAAGTGCCCGGAGTTAACCATTTATAAATGGCGATTCCCGCAACCTCTTCCCGTTATATGTACAGTGACGTCATGGCATTCTGTTAAAGAAAATCTTATGAATGACGTATACCGCCGAAAGTAACGTTTTTGGGAATAAACATATAACGTCACGGTACCCAAATTGCACCGAGTACCCAAATTGCACCTATTTAGCAAAAGTAGCAGCGGAAATCTTACAAGTTTTCTTAGAGACTAAACAATTTGTATTTTTATGATTTGACATTATGCACGTCTTTCAACATAGGTAACGTCACGGTACCCAAATTGCACCTATTCAACATAAACAGCTGAGAAATTCTTAAAAGTTTTCTTTGAGACTAAACAATTTGTATTTTAGTTATTTGACATTATACACGTCGTACGTGGGCAAAATAGGTGAATATATTCAATAATTACACCTTATGTAAGAATCCTGGGTTTTGATTGGTTGATAGCTAGTGTATTTTTCACCAATTTACTTTTATCAAATGAATATCGTTCATCTTTAAACAGCGCCGGGGTATATGATGGTATTTTGAACAGATATATCATGTTAAGGAGGGGTATTTTCAAAAAATACCAGTCGAGAGAATGTTAAATTTCGCGAGCCGTAAGGCGAGGGAAATTCATTCTCAACGTACAAAACGCATTGATGATCGTGACATAAAACGCATTGATGATCGTGACATTACAAGCGTCCAGTCGGATAGGGTACTGTGACGTTATTTACTGTGAACGTTTAGTGTGTGTATAGCGCCGGGGTATATGCAAAAAGGATATGCCTTTTTTACCCTCTCTGCCGTGGTATTTGCCAAAAAATACCCTATCCGACTGAACGCTTGTAATGTCACGATCATCAATGCGTTTTATGTCACGATCATCAATGCGTTTTGTACGTTAACATTCGGTGTAATTAAACAGATATAGCATGTTCTTGAGGGGTATTTGCGAAAAATACCAGTCTTGAGAATGAATTTCCCTCGCCTTACGGCTCGCGAAATTTAACATTCTCTCGACTGGTATTTTTTGAAAATACCCCTCCTTAACATGATATATCTGTTCAAAATACCACGGCAGAGAGGGTAAAAAAGGCATATCCTTTTTGCATATACCCCGGCGCTATACACACACTAAACGTTCACAGTAAATAACGTCACAGTACCCAAATTGCACCGAGTACCCAAATTGCACCTATTTAGCAAAAATAGCAGCGGAAATCTTACAAGTTTCCTTTAAGACTAAACACTTTGTATTTTTATGATTTGACATTATACACATCTTTTAACATATTAGGTAGATATATTTAAAAATACACAAAACGTTCACAGTATATATCAACAGATGGTGTAATCACTGGAAAACATAAAATCTACGGAACGTCGCCATGCGACGTCCACAAAAAGTCATCTTTTAAAAATGAGCAAATAAAATATGTTACATGCATCCATTTCTTAAAATATTAATAGTAAGCATGGACTAATGTCAAATTGTTCTAAATATTTGAAGAAATAAGACAAAACATCTGTTATTCAATTTTTAAGGATGTGAATTTAAGCATGGATGCAATTTGGGTACTCCTCATTACAGAATCACGGCCGGATCGTTTGGAGGTCGGTTCACACCCTTTTTTCTATGATTCAAAATGGATTCAAAATTAAATTGGTGTAACTATATAGTAAATAAGGATACATCTACAAAATAAACACAGAATGAAAACTTTTGTCTTTATCATAAATAAACGTAGGCGGAAAAACTGTCAAAATAGGTGCAAATTGGGTACAGTCACGTTAGATATATTTGAATATACACAAAACGTTCACAGTATACATCAACAGATGAAGTATTAACTGGTAAAGGAAAATGTACGGAAACGTCGCCATGCGACGTCCACAAAAAGGTCATCTTTTAAAAATGAGCAAATACAATATGTTACAAGCCTCCATTTCTTAAAAGATGAATAATAAGCATAGATTAATCTCAAATTGTTCTAAATATTTGAAGAAATAAAAGATGGCTAGGATGAAAAATTTTGTCCTGCCTTTTTATTTTTCACTATATTCGGTCCTGCCTTTTAATTTTTCACTCTATTCGGTCCTGCCTTTTTTTTTTAAGTTTATCCTGACTTCATTTTACCTCAATTGTCATCCTGACTTTTTTTTTACTCAAAACTCCTGTCCTGCCTATTTTTTTCAAATTTCATCCTATGAGGAATAGGCCTATGGTGAAAAAGATGGCATTTTGATTCGAAAAGGAGGTCGGTGACCCCATTTTTTATTGGCTAAGCTTTAAGCTTTTACTTAGCCTAAACTGAAAATGGAATTTAAAGAAGATATAATTGGAAGATCTGAATAGAAGGATTTGGCTATAAGACGTTACGTATGATAAGTTTATCAATTACCACTTTGCGTACCATAGTAAAATAATTTGGATTATCGCCCATTGTTTTTTTTAAAGAAGCATGCCACATCGTCAGATACATGTGTACACAAGCAAAGTAAAACTATTAGAAGCTAAATCAAAAGGTAAATATTTACTTTCATATATTTCATTCTATGCCAAAATAATGTTATTATTACAAACAATTTGTTTCTTCTATCAAGTTGTTTGTTATCACGCGGCAAGCAAACAAATAACTATGGCATGCACCTATAGCAGTATAGGTTGCAATTCTGTAAATATAGACAATGCAATTTCCCATAGGAACTCCCTTTGCGGCTAAAACTGTGCCACTTTTACTATGAAATTTCGTGAACAAATATATCCCAGAACGGAATGTTGATATGCACTACTATTTTATTCAAAGGTCAAAATATATATGGCTGTGCGTCATATTTTCAACATTTATATACCATGAACTTCTAAGAGTTTTAACTTATACTTAAATTCTATACCACCCTACCTCCACTTTTGGACCTCCTAAGAATTAAATTTTAGGCGCTATCATGTTTTTCTATACTGGCTCTATGAGATGAAACAGCGGAGAGATCATATCTGGGAACCAGTACGTTAACAAAATATGAATATTATATTAAAAGAAGCATTGCTTGTGAAACAGCTGTATTTACAAAATGCAACCTTTAGCAATTAATATTGAATATTTCTATGATGTAGATCGCCTCTAGAAACTTCCAAAAGATATCAGATTGGTGGTCTTTAAGGGCATCGGCCGTCGTTCATTATTTGTTTTCCGAATATAAAAAAAGAGGATGTGATATGATCACGGAGATATGGTTGCCAATGAGACAACTCTCCACAAGAGACCAAATAACGCAGAAATTAACAACTATAGGTCACCGTACGGCCTTTAACAATGAGCAACGCCCATACCGCATAGTCAGCTATTATAAAAAAGACTCAATGACACATGTAAAACAATTCAAACGAGAAAACCAACGGTCAAATTATGTACAAAACATGCAAAATAGTAAACGAAAAACTAATATATGTAACACAACAACAAACGACAACCACTGAATTACAGGCTCCGTATACTTGGGACAGGCAAATAAAGAACGTGGCGGGGTTAAACATGTTAGCAGGCGCCCAACCCTTCTCGACTCTATTATCACACACATCCTATGGATAATGAACCATAACAGATGACTGTGATAAGGAGTGACCAGATTCACTACTTTGAGATATTAGGCATCCTGCTGGTGCTTTAATAACACTATCTCGACAGACATTAATTCACACACAGATTGCTCACTCACTTCTATATCATCAACAATTTATATACTAGTCAGACATAAAAACTTTGATTGTATGACCCCCCCCAGCTGTATGATATCTTTGGCAATGACCCCCCCCCCCCCCCCTAAAATGTACCGACCCCCTCAGCTGATAAATAATGACTGTTCCCTAACCTGTGACGATGGTGTATAATAAGAACAAACTATATATCTTCTGATAACTATTTTTATCCTTTTCATAATTATGTCAGCAAGAATGTACGAAATTATGTGTATGGCATTTTCAGACTATAATTCGAAAAAAGCCTGAAAAGTTCTATAAAGCTGGCATAGTCGAGATGCTTATAGTCGAGATGCTTATTTTTTTTTTTTATTGACAATATTTATTTTACTATTTCGTTTGGAGGACGTATTTTCCAACAGACCACTGACATTCCTATGGGAACCAACAGTACTAAAGTTTGCCGACTTTCACATGCTATTTATAAGGTGAAGTCATCTCTAAGGAAGCATTATGAACCCCATAAAAACGATCAACGATCTTGGGGCCATTAAGGTTTTGGTTTGCATGTGTTGTATAGTCTCTTTTCTATTGTTGACCGTATCCTTACCGCGTTATAATATCTTTATATTTGTTTGTGTCGCACTCCAATAGACGTCTACTCTACATTGCCTTCCATTCCTTTTAGCTTTCATTTAAGTACGACAATTATGTAACCATTGATTAAAAATCTAAAAATCAAAATGAACATGATTACCTTTTTTTTAATGTTTAGGTCTAAAAAAGACTAAAACACAGCATAGTGTTTAAAAGAGGCCTGAATCAACCAAAAAGATCGAAATACCTGTACCGGAAGTGGATAAAATCAAACTAGTTATGGATGGAACAACTGACAGTTTTGATATTGAAAGGAATGGAGAGCCTTACAAACATGACAAATCCAATATTGACAATGGTAAACCATGCTATATCAATATTGTTAAAAATGGCAAGCCTTTAAAAGACGATTTGGATGAAAAACCTATTCAAACCAATACATGTAATGAGCTATTGTTAAAAAATGATTTTTTGAAGACAATCATTCAAAAATACACTAAGGTGAGACCTTATAAATGTGAAACTTGCGGCAAAACATTTTCTCAGACCGGTAACTTGAAGAATCACATTAAAATGCATACCGGTGATAAGGCCCATCAATGCAATGTTTGTGGTAAAGGGTTTACTTACAAAAGCGTTTTGTTGGGTCACATGATAATCCATTCTGAAAAAAGGTCCTTTAATTGCAATGTTTGTTGTAAAATGTTTCGTCGTCTTGGTGATTTACAGAAACACGAAAGAATACACACAGGCGAAAAACCTTATAAATGTGAGATTTGTAGTCAAGGTTTTTGTTGGCAATACAATTTCTTAAAACATATGTCAAAGCATACAGATTTTCGTCACAAATGTGATGTATGTGAGAAAGGATTTGTATGGAGTGGTGACTTGTTGAATCACAGAAAAATACATACAGGCGACACGTCATATCAATGTGAAACTTGTGGGAAAGGTTTTAATAGAATTGGTGTATTAAATAGACACATGAAAACACATACTGGTGAAAAAAACTTTGAATGTGAGATTTGTTGGAAAAAGTGTTCAACAGCTGGAAACCTAAAGTTACATAGGGAAATTCATTCTGACAAAAGATCGTACAAATGTGATCTATGTGAAAAATCATTCAGGCGTAAAGATCACCTCAATTCACACTTGGCTATACATACCGGGGATAAACCTCATGAATGTGATTTATGTGGAAAACCATTCAGACACTATGGAAACTTAAAAGTACATTTGAGAACCCATTCCGATGAAAAGCCTCACACATGCAGCATGTGTGGAATTAAAATTAGGGATAAGAATGACTTAAAGAAGCACATGAGAATACATACTGGTGAAAAACCATATATCAAATGCAACATATGTGGTAGAGAATTCTCTAAGAGTGGGGACTTAAAAAGACACACAAAAACGCATACGGATGAAAAATTGTTCGAGTGTAATGTATGCAAAAAACGTTTTGCCACTAAACAATACCTTCAGAAGCACATGCAAATACACAAAGGTGCACGTGAGAAATCAAACATTTGTAACGTATGTGGCAAATGTTTTACCAGTAATGCAAAACTATATGGGCACATGAAAATACATACTGGTGATCAACTCCATGATTGTAACGTATGTGGTAAATTATTTGGTAGCAGTGATAATTTAGATACACACATGAGAACACACACTGGTGAAACACGTTTATATAAATGTGTTGTGTGTAACACGGGTTTTAATACAAACACCAACATGCGAGCACATATGAAGAGTCAACATGTTGGCATAAAACCGTATAATTGCGGTGTTTGCAAAAATCATTCTTTCGACATGACGCATTACAAAAACATTTGAAAACGCATACTGGTGAAAACAAAGTATCATGTGATATATGTGACAAAATCTTTCGCTCTAATAGATCGTTACAGAATCACAGGAGAATACATACAGGTGAGAATCCATTTACATGTAGCAAATGTGAAGAGACGTTTCGTTCAGCTGTTTCACTGAATAATCACATGAGAAGCCATAGTCAAAAAACCTAAAGACTAGAGTGATGTATATTATACGTGATGTCATCAAAGAAAACAAAAGGTTGAATACACACGGGTATGTCCGTTTTCGAAATGCAGACAACATCTGAAACGTGATTTATGTGATAGTTTGGACGACTTAATTAACTGAGTCAATCACACTTCAAACTTATCGAAGGTTAACTTAATATACAAGTACTTGGTGTACTATACGCTCTGTTATTCCAAATTTCTAAAACTCATAAGAATTATATTTTGTTTTTGTTATGTTGTGACAGAGAGGCACACAAAAGTTATTAAATACGTTGTGAAAGCTATATTTTTTTTATATCACTGAATTTTATGCACATCTCCGGAGTTATAAATGATACATTCAGTTTGGAGAATGACGGGTCTGTATATAGGGGGGTGGGGGTTCCCTCCATTCCTGTATTCTTTAATTTTTGTGTCATTGTTCTCTATTCTTTACATTTTCAGACCCCATTATTCTCGTTTCTTTATATTTTAGCACCCCATTATATTCTTTGTTCTTTATATTTTACCACCCCATTATTCTCTATTCTTTATTTTTTTTGTCTGTTATTCTCTATTTATTCAACCTCATCCAGACATTTGTATACATTTGTATATGGTTCAGATTTATGAAAAATAGTTTTAGCCGTTTCAACTGTTTCAAGAGTTGAACACAGATGCATATACAAAAAAATTCTTATCTACAGTATATAAACTCGTCACAGATACCAGGAATAAAATATGCTAATTATAAAATTTATAAAAATAAGAAGATGACACACAGTGATATGATTGCAATTGAGATAACTCTCCACTAGAGACTAAATGACACAGACTTAACAACTATTATAGGTCACCGAACGGCCTTCAATAGTGAGTAAAACGCATACCGCATAGCCGCACATTGACAAATGAAAAACCATTCCAACGAGAAAACTTACGTTCTAATTTATGTACAAAATGATGAACGAAAAACAAATACGGTACACAAAAACAAACGACGACCACTGAATTATAGACTGCTGACTAGTATGTCAGATGCGCCTTTCGTCTACAAAAGACTCACCATTGACGCTCGAATAAAACAGTTAAAACTGCCAAATAAAGTACGAAATTGAAGAGCATTTAGTGTCCGTTATGTATGCATGACAATGATATCAAAATGTAGGCATACATAAGTACATGCGCGAAGTGAATACAAGAGGAATGTGTATGCGAGAATTTTTTACTTTCTGCTCCGTGTTGAAGACTTCACTGTGACTTTGAGATAAAGAACAAAAATAAAAGCGCTGACCATTATGGCATATGCCTTTTGTGTGTTTTTTGCTGTGCATGTACTGATTTTGTGTTATGGATGGATAAACTATATTCGTTGTTTTTCCATTATTCATGATCAATCTAAACAAATCTAGACAAATTAATTGTACATTTATGAATGAAAGGGTATTAAAACGAGAGAAAGGAAAAAAAGAAGAAAAAAAACAACAGAAAACCAATGCAGAATAAACAGAAACATGTGTGAAAAACATACCCAAAGATGAATCTTACAATCAGGTACATACATTTGTTGTGCATTTAAGCTATTTTATTGAGTATTGAACCCGCTCCCCCTTTTAAAGCTCCCCCCCTCCCCGTGATAACGAAAGGTTAACATAATATTTCATGATGATTATCAGTTAAAAAAAATAATGAGTATATATGTACATAATCTGATGTTCAGTAGTTGTCGTTTGTTGATGTGGTTCATGAGTGTTTCTCGTTTCTCGTTTTTTATATAGATTAGACCGTTGGTTTTCCCGTTTGAATGGTTTTACTCTAGTAATTTTTGGGGCCCTTTATAGCTTGCTGTTCGGTGTGAGCCAAGGCTCCGTGTTGAAGACCGTACTTTGACCTATAATGGTTTACTTTTATATATTGTGACTTGGATGGAGAGTTGCCTCATTGGCACTCATACCTCATCTCCTTATATCTTTATAATATCTGTATTAAAGCTTGAGGCGACAAACAATTAAAAAGAATTAAGCCTCCTCTCATTCCGATTTGCATGTAAGATTTGTCACACCTTCGACGCGCTAAACACCAAGCCGCTATCATCATACGTATAATCACTCGACTTCTCCTCCTCCTCCTCCTCCTCCTCCTCCTCTTCCTCCTCCCCTTCCTCCTCCACCACCTCATCATCATCATCATCATCATCATCATCATCATCATATTTCATCAATTTGAAAGATGCATATAATTCTGTGATTTTGTACAGTTTACAAATATCTTGTAAATAAATAAAACCCAGGAAATTTTAACAAATGGAAAAATCAAAATGTTTTCGATGACTTATAACAAGAAAAGGAAGAGAAAAATATCTGTGTAAGCTTATAAAGTATCAACTCACAAGTAATACACGATGCATGGTCATGATGGTCTTATGTTTAGATTCTAGGTACTGACGTTGTTTATCATTTTAATAACATGTTAAAGTATTCTTATGTTTGTCTTTTTGAATATTACTATTGCTGTCTTGGTGTATTTTTTGTGATATCCATTTGACGTGGCTCGGTACTTGTACATTCCGTCATTGTGTTATTGTGCTATGGTAAATATTTGTATTTTTGGTCTTTCATTTTTACTTATGTGCTTTTTCTATATGCCCTTTTGTGTTTCTTTGTTAAATATTTGTTTGTTTTTTGTAGTGATTAAGATTATAACACAATGTTGACAGTTGTACCCCTTTTTGACATTTTAACCTATTATGTCTATTTGTTTTGTACACACATCTTTGTCAATATAATGAAATTGTAATGCGACTGTCATACAAGTGAGAGCTTTAGCTAGCTATAAAACCAGGTTTAATCCACCATTTTCTACATAAGAAAATACCTGTACCAAGTCAGGAATATGACAGTTGTTATCCATTCGTTTGATGTGTTATAGCTTTTGATTTTGTCATTTGATAAGGGATATTTCGTTTTGGGTTTTCCTCGGAGTTCGGTATTTTTTTTTTTATTTTACTTTTTATATAAACATGCTTTGTATGAGCCAAGGCTCCGTGTTGAAGACCGTACTGTGACCTATAATGGTTTACTTTTATAAATTTTGACTTGGATGGAAAGTTGTCTCATTGGCACTCATACCACATCTTCTTATATCTATATAGATGCAAAATGTACCCTGCAACAAAACAAACACTCTAACACTTTGGTACATGTCACAACTTGATATGTGGAAATGAAAGCAGACTGACGACGTATCTAAACAGTACCAGTGCCTTTAAGACAAATCCTACTATTCAAATCTACCAATGGGGTCTAATAGGGGTGGGGGGGGGGGGGGGGGGGGAGGAGCAGATTCCTATATCCCGGTTATCATTGTAATAATAAAAGCTAGTAATTTCACGTGTCCCGCTCGACTGCGTGTCCTTTTTTCAAGCACAATAATTTGACTTTAACATGTAAAGCTTACAAAAAATTGGCCAATCCCACACCACGCTTAAACCCAAATGAGACCCACTACCAATAATATCTTCTCCAAATTTTATTTTCAGTTAAGCCTAGGTAAAAGCTTGAAACAAAAATGGGGTCGATATAAATCTTATCCCCACACCCCCACCCCCTAAAATCAAATGTACTTATATGATGTGCAAATATCCTTATATATGATGTGCATTTCCCTTATATTATGTACAAACATCTTTATATGATGTGGTTGTGTCATTATATTATGTGCATATAACCTTATGTGATGTGGTTCGGTTTACTTCATTATATGATGTCGAAACGTCATTATATGATGTGGTATGGTCAATGAACATGATAACGATTAGAATGATTACTGTCTTCGTCATAACTGATTCCGATCTGCTTCTTTGGAAATAATATAAACACGACTCAAATTAGAAATCTGTAGCTATCGTTTGGAAAATGGTTGAGATTTGAAAAGAGATAAACCTTGGCATGTTGGTACCTCGTCTTAAGATGAAAAAATCACATCAGCTATTGTTGGAAAATTGTCAAGATATAAATTGCAAAGTTTAGTTTTAATCGATTGGTCTACAATAATTCAATTCAATATTTTATTGCCATATAAACTTTACAGTTTGTGACATATAACAAAACAAATGAAGACAATAACTAAGTAACTCAATATATATATATACACGTTCAAGTAAATATTAAAGGGTCCCCCGTCCTCAGTTCTATTGACTTTTAAATGAAGGATCCTAGTTTATTCAATTGTGTTGGTGTTGATGGGTTAAGTATATATATAACTGGGTTAAGGGGTCTAAAGACAGCACAAACAACAATTTCCAAAAGACCAAAAAAAGTGAAAAAGTCTATTTTAACAAAACGCATTTGACTAACAGGTTGAACAACTGATGTTCTTAAACCCTGCTGACTGCCATTGGCGATTGCCAAATAAATTGATCACCAGATCTAACGAAACGGATCTTAATATTAATTTAATACCAAACAGAAAACAATAAACTTGTGGAAGAGATGGTATACCACAAACATGAGGTGCAAAAATTTGTACACCATATCCGGATTTCGACAATTAATGTCTCTTCAGTGATGTTAGGGATCGAAACGGTATTTGGAAGGCCATATAATTTACCTCAATTTAGGATAGACTCTCGAATTTTAAAGAGTCGAAATAGGATGAACGGATCATATAAACCCGAAGGAAAATATAATACAAGCCCAAACGAAACAATATATTAAAGTCTAAATTGAAAACAACGTTCAAACCTATGATTGCGTTGGATAAAAACCGCAATTTTTATACGTGTGCATGTAAAAAAAATTTATTGGTAGAGGGGTCTAAAGACAGCACAAACAACAATTTCCAAAAGACCAAAAAAAGTGAAAAAGTCTATTTTAACAAAACGCATTTGACTAACAGGTCGAACAACTGATGTTCTTAAACCCTGCTGACTGCCATTGGCGATTGCCAAATAAATTGATCACCAGATCTAACGAAACGGATCTTAATATTAATTTAATACCAGATATGGTGTACAAATTTTTGCACCTCATGTTTGTGGTATACCATCTCTTCCACAAGTTTATTGTTTTCTGTTTGGTATTAAATTAATATTAAGATCCGTTTCGTTAGATCTGGTGATCAATTTATTTGGCATTATTAATGACCTGACAACAGTATCGTAACTATATCCCTTCTTAATAAGTCTGTTTAAAGGTTTTGTTAGCTTTTGAGGTGAATACTGACATTTTTGTGCTTTGTAAAGAATATTAACATAAAAGATTGGATGTGAAATACCCGAACGTATACGATGTCTGCATGT